GGAGGAGGAAGAGAAGATGAAGCCCTCCTCGCTATCTCACCTGCAGGTAGCTGTCACTGAACTGACTTCGTCCGTTGCTGTGTGCAGGTACCGCGTGGAGCCCAGGTATGGCGCCAGGTAAGCTCGCCGACTGCAGGTATGGCCTCCGCCACTCTCCTATCTCCTCTAATCACTACTCCCTACTCCTCTACCTAGCGCAGCATAGCGTAGCCTCCAACCAGCAGCATGTCGCTCAGAAGTGAGCGACTCCAACTGTCCCTGGCCCAGCCGCTGCCCAGCTATTTGTAGCGCTGGGCGGCCGGGCCTACCTGGTGCTGTGTGGCCTACAACGGCCCAGGTGGTCTGGGTCCCTACCGGACGTCCAGACCTTGCTGCTGCTGCAGCGTGGCGCAGAAATGCGGCTGGCCTAAAAACGGCCGTCTACCGGTGCACCTGGCCCAAGGTGCTGTCTTGGGTCCTGCAGGACCGAAACGACGCCGGTTTGGCGCCAAATGCGCCTGGCCTCGTTTCGGGCCTGCCTCCGGTGTACTCGGTCCCAAGGTCCGGCCTTGGGGCTGCAAGTCCAAAACGGCAACTGAACAGACAAAAATAAGACAGCACACACACACAGAAAAAGGGGGTAAGTAAACGAAAACCTACCAACCTACGTGCTGCCTAGGGCCTGGAGGGCCGCCGTGGGCCTTCAGGGCGCGTGCTGGATAGTAGGCAGCCTGGGGGCCCCTCAGCAACCGTCGGGCCCCTCAAATGGGGCCCGTGTGCAGGCTCAGCATGCAACAGCCTGAGTGTGTGTGTGACCTGCAAGGGTACTTGTTCGTTTGAAGGCCCGCAGGGGCCGGTACTTACCTGTGGTCGTGACTTCGAGGGTTGCAGCGGGGAAAACACTCAAGTGGCAGGGGTAGGCCCGCGGCAATTAAAGCAGCGAGAAAAACACTCAAGTAGCAGGTAGGCCGATACCACTCGAGTAGTGGTAGAAGTGTCGGGTACTTGAGGCCGAGCAGAAGAAGACAAAAAGTTGGCATTTGTAGAGGCCCAATAGCGGTAGGCTAGAGGTAGGCCGGTACCAGTCCAAGGAGCATGAGTCTAGGGCCTGTACGGACGATATCAGAGCCTGCAATGATGTTTCCCTCCGAAAGGGAGGAGGTACCGGTTGTTGGGAGGCCGTGCGGCCTAGGAAGTCACCGCCCAAGAGGCAAGTAGGCTGCTATATCTTCGGGAGGAGCAAGTAGCTCCTCATTTGCAGTGTGCAAGTTTGGGTGACATACTGCTTGAGCGAGCGCTGGACACAGAGCACTGCCTGGGAGGACGACAAGGAGCTGGGTGCTCAGCCTGGCTATGGCGAGCAACCCAGTTTGAGGAGGAGGAAGAAGAGGGCAAAGGAGGAGAGTGGCGAGGTACCTACCTGGCTATGGTGGACACCATCTTCATCACCTTGATAGGTGCTGCATCTGGAAGGCCCCAGTTGGGGTGCCCACACCAAGGAAGCTCGAGGCCGAGTCGGGCATGGTGGCCTGGTGAGCAGTGACCATAGCTGCTTTGTGTTGTCCTTTGCACAGGAGGGCAGAGCCCTTAGTAGCCGCCATAGCCTTGGCACGTGAGAGGAGGAAGAAGGGGGAAGCCATGGCTGTGGTGGACCTGTTGTTATGCTGGTAGTAAGAGGGAACTTCGGAAATTGATTCTGGTTCAACCACTCATTGTTATTATTATTATTATTTGGAAGAACAATAAGATTGGCGAAGTCGAGGAGGAGGAGGAAGGTGGATGGGTGTCGGGCAGTGAGTTTCGTGAACAGAAATGCGGCCACCGAACTTTTCCTGCAATTACTACCGTCTTCACCCGAATAGAACGCCCCGGTCATTATAGCCATATCTGGACTGAAAATTGCACCAAATACAGCTATAATGACCGGGCGTTGTATTCGGGTGAAGACGGTAGCAGTGAGTGTTATCTCGCACTTTCTCCTGCAATTCCTGTTGTTTTTCCCCAAGTAGAATGTACTGGTAGTATAGCGGTGTCTGGCGCAATTGTTAGTCTAGATAGCGCAATAATGAGTGTATGCTCTATTTGGGGAAAGGCGATAGTGGTGTTATCGTTGAAAGGGAACTTTGCATGTGACTTATACGGATGCCTGTTACCCTGTTTTCCTTCTGCTTCTTTTTTTTAATCCGGCTCTTTTTGCTAGAAGTGCCAAGAACAAAAGCAAAGCAAACTGCTGACATCTATCCGAAGAGGATTTCCCATCTGCAATTCACTGTTTCTATGTTTTCGTTTGGTGTCCTCTCAGTGTGCTTTTGTCTTCCTCCAAAGCTTCTTTTTAATCGACACCGATTCGACAGTAATCGACATGTATCGTATTGATGCAGGTTGCACAGGTGCCATGCGGAACATGCAAACAGCGGGATATGTTTGATGATAGTGAAGATGCAGAAGCTGAGGAGCAGCTGAGAGAGGCAAAGATTTTTCTAAGCCTTTTGAAATCTTTCAATGAGCACAACCCACGGTGGTCTGCCATCGTGGATGGTGTGGCAAAGGTTGATGTTGTTGTGGCTTTTGCCTCGGTCGTTGACTCTTCCCATGCGACTTACTGTCGCCCTACATTTGTTCAAATGTGAGAATCACCATCTTTGCATCTCTCTCCTCTTCCTGGTCCCTGTTTTCACCTCTTGCTTCCATTTTCACCAGAAAAAAAGGACTTGCTCACAGGTGCTGTAGGATCTGGAAGATTTCTAATCTGCTCAATTCTCATTTAGTGACTGAGTTTTTTTCAGGTTGAACTTGGAAGTGCCGCAAGTGCGTTAATTAATTTGATTTGTGTGATCTTTGCTCTATGTAATGTAATAATGGAACCATACTACCATAGTCAAGGGCTGTGTGACAGGAACTTATTTTGAAACTTTTTTTTTTTGTAAAGTCGAAGCCTTTGGGGCAGTTTGTATTATTTTCTGAAAAACATTTAAAAAATGTCCTCGTCCCTCCTCCTTCCTCCCTCCTCCCTCCTCCCCCCCCACCGCTCCGCTCCCCTTCCACCCACCGGTTAAAAAAAAAAAAAAAAAAAAAAAAAAAAAAAAAAAAAAAAAAAAAAAGTGGAGTCTACCATCTCTGGAGGAGGGGCACCTGTCAGTCAGCTGCTGAACTTGAGCACAAGTCGCAAATCATCATGGTTTATTTACGAGTTCTAGCTCAAGAGACCACGAGGATGACTTTTCGGTTCCATTGCATCTCAGATTGAGGATCTGATCATCATGATAGTTCGATTGCTCTTTTTTCTCCTTACGATTGTGGTGGTGATCTCCTAAGAGAGCTGTTGTGGCAGAGCTGTTGTTACTATGAGAATATGATTATGGTGATGAATCTGACAATTATGTTGTTCGGAAAAGGGGAAAAAAAAAGACAGTTTGTAATTGGTCTCAGAGGAGAGTATGTTGCTGCCGCTGGTTGCAGGTCATCAGAAGATGTCAGTGGTTTAAGTGCTTCTGGAAGCAGTCTGGAAATCATCGGCCTACGTCATCCGTATGCAGTAGGTGGGTGTGTTGCCCTGGGTCGCCAAGAAACTCCAGTTGTCCCCAATGATGTCAGATTGGGAGTGATAGAACGGCTATCCGACGACCAATCTGTCGGGAGCAGAAAGCAGTCCTTGGACGGATCAGATCGACCAGGTGCAACTGATGGAAAATGGCGTCCTCGAACGATCCTGCTCACAGGGCCTAACATGGGAGGCAAATCAACGTTGCTCCGTGCCACTTGTCTTGCTGTCATTATGGCGCAGGTGAGGACATCATGTTATCGGCCCAGAGACGTGTCATTGCATCGAGAGAGGAATAAGACTTGGAAATATAGAGAGACTGATACATAACTGAAGCACTGCACAGACAAAAAATTGATTCTGTTCGTAATGTTTTGTACGCATAAAAGGGAGAGCTCTTGAAAGTGTGTGACAGAATGAAATGTGTGCTTGGCTCTGCTTCTCTCTCTCTCTCTCTCTCTCTCTCTCTCTCTCTCTCTCTCTCTCTCTCTCTCTCTCTCTCTCTCTCTCTCTCTCTCTCTCTCTCTC